TCCAATCTTCGCTGTGGAGGGATCTGGTCCCTCATTCTCTGTGCGGAGAACCAAGTCAGGCCTTGCGCATCTGGATGCACTTGACGAAACGTATCATGCAACCCATGTGTGATCATGAACTGTTCCAGCAGAATCGCATCGCCCTTCTTGTGCTTGGAGGTTTGGGAGTCCAGCCCTGGTACCAGCACCGTGTTGAAATCCCCTGCCAAAACAAGATTTGTTGCCTCTGGGATAATGTTTGGCAGGTTGTGGAAGAAGGACCTTCGTTCGACCAAGGTCGCTGGAGCGTAAATAGACTCGGACATTATGGTCCACTCCTGCTCCTCCCATTCGATCTGCATCCAGCACCAGCGCCCTCATACGTCTGCCTGGTGGTCCAATATCTGTGCGTCCAGCTCCCGGTGCAACAAAATTGCAGTTCCTCCCTTCGTTCCTTCAGCAGGGGACCAACATTGCGAGCCTCGCCACCAGCGGGATGTTTGGGCAATCCTCTCCTCATTCAGCTTGGTTTCCTGAATGAAAGCAACCTGGATCCTTTTTTGGTGTAACCATGTCTTCAATCGTGCCATCTTCTGTCTTCCGGACTGGTCCACCAAACCCCGTACATTCCAGGTGACCATGACCACTTTATCCATTGGTGTTGTTTTGTAGAGCGGCTACTGGTTGGATCCACTGATTTGCTGTTGTGGCTTGAGCTCTGCTGCTTTCTTTCCTTCTTCGAACTAGAGTTGTACCTTCTCTTTTTTGTTGTGCTTCCCAAGGAGCACACAACAGAGTTGTGAAAGGTGCTGACCACAATTGCTTGTCACTTGGTAAGGAAGTGCAATAAGTTGTTACCAACTATGCATTCACCGCTCCTAATAGGAGTACTTTGGCTGCCTCTTGTGATTGTAATGCATCCAACCACTGTGGGGGTATCCCGTGTACCCCCTGTGTATTCAAGCTTGCATCAATTTTCGTTGAGATTTTGGCGTTCACCATCACCAAATGAAAGTGCAGTGGCAGGCCATCCCCAAGATCCACTATTTTCCTCCCAATACGGAGGTCTGACAGTAGGCGAAAAGGAAATCGACCAGCTACAAACTTAGCTGTTGCACTCTTGATTGCTTCTTTCGTACCAGGGAAGCTTTCCACTAACACTGTGGGTAAGAAGAAGTCCCCTGTCTCTGCTCGCCCCGCCAAAATTTTGACCCCTTGTGGTGCCAGTGAGGAACAAATAGGCACTACGTAATAAGTCCCCTTTGACTGTTGAGATGTTGCTGGTTGTTTGGCCCGCTGACTCCCTCCTTGGTTACTCCCTGGCCGTCCGTGCTCTTGAGGGAAGCCAATGGTGAAGGATTCCACTTCCCCATCTCCATCCTCTTCCTCCCTTGTGGGTTTTGCTCCACCCTCTTCGCCAATTCTTCTCGTCTTTACTGGCGCCAGGTCGGTGAATCTGCTGCCCGGATCACGCATAATCTGGTCCCTGTGGAGTGCATTCAGTCCCGCCCCTTCGTGACCCTGTCCCAAAGTATGTGCCTCCATTTTGTTCTCTTGCTCTGTGTTAGCTGATGATCTCCCGATTAGGGCTAGTGTTGCATTCTCCTCCACCTGATTTTCCACACTAAACTCCGAATTGATGTGTAATGTGACAAAGGAGCGGTGGTCTAAGTTCGGCGGCTGAATAAGCCGTGTTTGCTGGACCTGTGTTGGTTACCCTGGTACCTGCCTTGGGTCTCGTATCGCTCCTTGCCTGTCCGTGCCTTCCATCAACAGAGGCCGACTCGAGTGGATTTGTTGTTCCTAATGAGTGTTGTGCGCTGGTCCCGTGAGGGGTCCCCATGACGGTCCCGATGCCGGTCCCAGCGGTGGGCCCAGTGTTCCCACGGCCCCAGTAGTGGGCCCATTGACGACGCTGTCCTTGGGGCTTGTGAAGGTACCGTTGATAGTAACAGAAGTGTAGGCAGAGGGGGGGGGGCGTTCCCAACCCCCTCTCCCGTTCGTCCATTCTCCTCCTTCACTTCTTTGTCTTGCCGAGCCGTCCTATGGGCTTCCGATTGAAAAAGGAGCTGGTTCCACCCTCATTTGAGATGGGTGATCCGCTCCCAAGCTTCTGATTCTGGCCCGAGTTGCTGACGTATGAGAATATGGTACCGGTGCTCCTTGTTTGGCCCCGTTCAATGAGGTCGATGTAGGATCCGTGTTCTGGGGTTGAGCTTGTTGTCCGCTTAGCTGAGTTGTACCTCCTTGGCCTCTCTGGTGCTGTGATCCCAACAATCTCTGACCTCCATTGCCCTCGTGTCTTGCTTGGCCTCTCCCTCCACCATTACTATTTCCTCCTGCGTTGCCGTCACCTCGACCCGCACCTCTTCCCCCTCGCCCTCGTCCTCTGCCCCCCCTTCCTCTGCCCCTTCTTCCATTTGGCATCCGTTCTTGGAATCTAGGGCATTCCAGATCGAATTCATCGTGGAACCACCATAAACATTTGCTACAGAAAAGGGTGTCCTGATTAGCAAATCGGACCTCTAAGAATCCTCCTGTTGGTTTTTTAACGACTACCCATTCCATGAAAGTCTGACGGACCTCTGGGACACAATCAATTTTTATGTTCCCTAATCGGGGTTCGTCTTCTTTCCTGTTTGGAGGGGCATCGTCAAAATCCTGCCCATAAGTCTTTCGACCGCGGAACGGAGGGCCGATAGAACTTCTAAAGGAACCCTTAAGGCAATGATTTTGAATCTCCCTGCCGCTTCTCTATCTCTCATTTCGTCTAGCTCTTGCTTTGTCAGCCAAGGCTTGAATAGGACTTTTATCGAACCGTTTCGGGAAGGAATCCTATCATTACCTTTCGAGACAAGCCACTGCGCTATCCTTGCTGACCTTGCAATGTAGGACATTACATTAGGCCCTTCACCATGGGTCCGCCCTCTCTTCCGCGATGGGTTGACCTGGGCAGCTTGGTACCACGCATCTTCGTATACCCGAATTAACTGTTCCCTCTGCGCTACTGTGAAGGTGGTCGAAGGTTCATCAAAAATTACAATTACTGTTCGGGCTTTTAGCCAATTTACCATTATGATAGCGTTGTTGACTTCGTCACTCAGAGTAAGCACCCCTACCCCATCTACAATCTCCGTCTCTCCAAAGTTAATATTGGTCTCCGGAAACAACCCGTCGTCATAACACAGGTCTAACAGGGTTTGTATCCTGTCTGGGTCATCTCCATTCGGTAGTGGGTCAGGGGGAGGAGGGATGCTTCCCCTTCCTCCTCCGATGGTGAGGGCGTTAGAACCCATTCCGGGACAGTTTTCCGGTGGTAAATTGCTATCTCCAATGACCTTGCTCCTATCTTCTCCTCTAGGTATGTCTACTTCTAGTATCAATGCAATTTCGTCAGGAGGTCCCTACTCTTTCTTATTCTTTTCTTACTCATCACCACCGTGCTGATTCACAATCTTCGAGGATGCTCCTCTAGCCACCTCTCCAACCGAAGAGAAAGCTCGTCTCCTTGTGCGCTTCAAGGACGTGGGCGCCTAAGCGCCACATCCATCCCTCATAGTACACATCATAATACAATACTTCATGGCTCTCGGTCACTGGCCTGCGTCCATTCCTCCTCCAAGCACTACGGATATTGACCTAGCCATCGCCAGGTAGGTGTCGGCAGTATCCCGGGTATCGGCCGTGTGCCGAGTCCGAGGTCAGTGACATCGGTCCTCCCCGGACCGGTAACGCATCGTGGAGCGCTCCTGCGCCCAACCGACGCGCCCGTCCCCTCTCTCTCTTTTTTTTGGGATTTTGGGATTATAGGTCCCCGTGTGAGTATGCCCTGAGTAGGCCCTCAGAAAGGCTCTAATGCCGAGGCCCATCTAATCCTACTTGGGCAGGTGGGACCTTGTCCGGGGGTGTGGTTCAGTAGTCTACCGTAGTCAAAGGGTCGGGGGGCGGGGGGCGGGGGGAACAAATGGAGCGTTGGAGAAAAGAGTTTCGGACAAATTTGCTATTTTTGTTTTCTTTTTGTCCACGGCTATGGTTCCACTAAGGTCCTGCCCCAGACACAACACCCCTCATTATGACCGTATGGGACCGGAAAGATGGCTTGTATACATTCATGATGAGGATCTGAATCCTTTCCCTGTTCTGATTCTGTTTCTCTCATTGGGCCTGGGCACACAACTCGCCAAGCGTGCAGAAGACGAGCTCTATGGGCCTCGCGGCACCACTCTCGAAATGTGCAAAACGAGAGTGAATCTTCCGCTAGAATACGGAAAGATGCACCGCCATGATTTTTGTCTTTTGTGCATGTCGAGAGTAGTGCAGCGAGGCCCTATGGCACATTCCAAGTTCTTGCAGAAGATACATGCTCCACTCGTGCCTGGTGCGGCAACGCCCACGGCCACCTGTTCGGACCTACGGGAAGTAGTTGAACCACTCGCCATCCGCCAACATTTTTGAATGCATCTGGACAGAGGGTATGTCCAAGTGAGTTCAAAATCTTGACGGACGGCGATCTACCGGTAGGGCCTTCTTTGTCTGCCTGCTACCGGGTACCTCTCGTTCCTTTATTGGCCTCTCTCTCTCTCTCTCTCTCTCTCTCTCTCTCTCTCTCTCTCTCTCTCTCTCTCTCTCCTTTTATTGGGGTCTCTCTTTCGTTCTTTCTTTTTTTCTTTTCAAAATTGGGCCCGTCCTTCCTGCCTGTCTGTCTGTCTTCTCCTTTTTGTTTTTTTTTTGCTTTATGGCAAACAAGGATAGTTGAGGCCGGCTCTTTTTTTTTTTTTTTTTTTTCGGGACAGGCCGGCTCTTTTCTTTTTTGCCTACCCTTTTTTTTTTTCTTCTTTTTTTTCTTTTTTCTTTCAACGGAGTTATTGTGCCCTTTCTCCTGTACCCCCTCTTTCCGTCTCCCCCACCCTCCCCGCGCCAGACCACCACCACCATCCCCCGTACAGTCTCCGCGTGGATTGGCAGTTGTATATATGAGTACAGATTAAGAACTGCAGTCGTTGAAAGTACTCGCGCTGTGCATACGTTTGTGCTTGCGTGTGTGCGTGTGCGAGGGAGAGAGAGCACGAGAGCGAGACACGCACACACAAGTACACATACATATACACACACACACACACACACACACAGAACGCGTGAGCGGCTCACACAGGAGGGTTGGAAGACAGAGAGGATATCTTGCGAGGATGGAGTGCTTGTGATAGAACCGAGTATGTGTGCGTGCGTGCGTGCGTATGTGTGTATGCGCGCGTACATGCATGCCATTGTGTCTCAATTGTATCTGGGGGAAAGAGGCAGAGGAGGCGGGAATTAGAGAGGGAGGGAAAGAGGCCAGGAGGAGAAGAAGGAGAGGAGGAGGTTCTTGCAGCCTGTGTACTTAGCGTCTGCTACGCACAGCGCGTGCTTCTTTACCGTGTTAACTGTGTTTCAATCATTAAGCTTGATCTCGATTATGGTGATTTCGTATTCAAGGTTAGTCGTGAGTTTATTTATTGTGAGTTTATTTATTCTGAGTTTATTGTATGTTAGTATCTTCTATTCGGTCGTTTTTTTTGTGCCTCTGATCTGCCTCCTTCAACCGAATACAACGTATTACGGGGATGATTGATGTATCTAGACTGAAATATGCTCCAAATTCCGATATAATGACCGGTCGTTGTATTCGGGTGACGGAGGGGAGTAATTATTAGAAAAAAAGAAAAAGGGTGAAGGATGGGACTGTGTTTCTCTTTTTTTTTTATTTTTATTTTTTTTATTCTTGTTTGTGTCTCTGAAGCTCCGACTACCGTCTTTCCCGAACACCGCGCACCCTGATTGTGGCTGTACCGAGCCCGAAATATAGCTTGTATACATTCATTTTGAGGGTGCGTTATGCTCGGTGGAAAACGGGAGCGAAAACAAAACGAGGGAAGAAAGAACAAGGATTTCGTTAACTCTGATATAGATAAATGTATATATTTATTTATTTCTTCATATATATATATATATATACACAGCCCCTCGTTTGTTGTCCTCTTCTCCCTCTCTGCCTACGGTTTACCGGGCAGTTCTGTTTGACGATATATAGATAGAGAAGTATATATATATATTTGTATATGTCTTCATATTTATGAATATATAGAGTATTTGCATATATGGTAATTTTTTGTCGCAAAAAAGCTGATTGTTTAATAAAACCTCTCGTTTATGACCATGGACGCGGGTGGGTTCTTCTCTTTTGTAATTGTTTTTTTTTTGGTTCTATTTTTTATTTATTTTTAATTCCGTTTGCTTTTCGCCCGCGGCTGCCGTCTCGTGATGTCCTGTTGCGTGGCAAGTGGCCGTGTCAGCTGATCGCTGACGTGTCAAAGGTGCGCTCTGACAGATTGATTCATGTTAGAGCTTGTGCAACATGAAGGGGGCTGACGGAAAAAAAAAAGAAGAAAAAAGAATAAAAAGAAGGGGACGATGTGTCGAAGAAGTGGGCGCAAGTGGCAACAAGCTTTTCCTTGAAAAAAAGAAGTGGGCGCTAGGATTGGGCGCGAGGATTGTTTCATGTGAGAGCTTCTAGAACACTCCTCGCGCGAGGATATCATAGAACAGGTTGACTTGACAAATAAGCAAGCCGATATATATGTGACGACGATATATATGATATATATCCT